TGTCCATAATTATATCTATAAAACATTATATGCTATTTTGCAAATGAAATTACTGTCAGAGGATAAAGAAGGGGAAAAATCAGTTTGAAACAAGAAATAAAAAGAGGAATTAGAGAACATTGTCAGAGGGCACAGACAAACTGAAATCTTGTTAGAATGATTTTATAAACCTAGCTATTCAAACTGTTCTAGAAAAAACCCAAAGACAGCTACACCTCAAGACCTAAATCATTATTTTATTCTCAACAGGAAGAAACAATGTCCATTCTTAATTTTAAAAATCTTTAGTCTCCAGACAGAGTTTATGAGGTATGATCCAAAAGCTACTGGAGTAAACTGAGTCAAATCTAGAACAACCCAGATGGAATGTTAGGAAGGTTCTGCGTTAGTGGTGGATGGGAAGTATCCTTCTGTTGATGCTAGACTCCACTAATGTGATCACACTTCATTATATTACGTATGGTCTCCGATTATTTTATTACCTTTTGTCCTGGCATGAGGCTCTTGGAAGACAGAATGGTGAATCCATCTCCAGGTCCATCCTCGGATGTTGAATTTGATGCCCCTTCTTTTTCATTCTCCTTCTGTTTGTTCTGTTTTTGGGGGGGGAGCAACCATCAGGACAAATCAGGAAAAAGTTGGTAAGTGTCATCTTTCAGAAGGTGAAAGCAACAAATCTGACCTTTATAGGATAACACAGAATAGCATAGCTTTTTGGTAGCTCTGTAGTCCTACGGTGTTTCATCGTTTACTAAATACAAAAGGATTACTGGTTAAAGTGAAACATTACAAAAGTTTTCTAATACTTTTCAGACTCAACAGTATGTATACATCCCTATGTAGTTCATTGAGCGTTTTTGTAGTGTTTGCTTGCCTTGGCCACTAGGAAAGCAGATGCTATACTAATCTGAGTACTCAAACTAAAAGGTATAGCTAAATGTACTAATTTAAAGAAATCTCGTAGGAACTTCCTAATAAAACAAATCAACAGAATGGTGGATTAGCAAATTTGTGAAGCATTCCATATTTAAACAAATGCTGCACAGTGGCAGCAATTAGTCTTGGTGGAAAGAGGTGTAAGAGGGATAAGAGGTGGGTAATGTGAATACCATATTTTATCAGATATCTCATTCATACCGCAAAAATTAGCCTTTCAAAATTGGGGTGCCTGTCTCAAGGATGGAAACTGATTTTCTGCCCAGAAAAAGCAGCATGAAGACTCTGTAAGATGGCTGTTGTTGCTTTTCCTTCTATTTCCTCCAGCAGCTACATTGGTGGGGGGGAAGAGGTGGAGTCCAACAGGGGCAAGATCCAGGGTGGGTTCAGTGGTGCAGCTGCACACTGCTTAACCTTTTCCTCCACCCAAGGCTTAAAACCAACAGCACCAGTAGCATTTCTATTCAGGCAGTGCTAAGGGAGACAACCGACTTCATGGCTCATTATAATCTTCCTGATTCCTACTAACTGCTCTTCACTCCAGAGTTGTTAACAACCCACTCTTTTTTAATGGGTTGATGTTCCACTAATCTATTCTTTGGAAATGTTGCTGTCTGTTAGCTACTCCTGGTCTTTCTTCTCCTATTTCACAGCCCTGAAGACCATATTTAGCTCTTTTCAAAATCCATGGGTGTATACCCATGGAGTCCAGTCTTCAGCAGGAGCTACAGTTTCAATTAGTGGCTGAGCAACCAAGATCTGCTAACAATTCAACTGTGAAAGGGATTAAACAGTAGCTTTTGCCTGAGTAGGAATGGGAGGGTGAGTGAGCTGAGCAGCAGGCTCTGTCCCTACTCTATGCAGCCATAACTCTGAAAAAAATCTCTTTCTTAATTCTGTTTTCCCCAAAATAAAGTCCGTTTCTTATTTGGGGATATGTTTATGGAAGAAAATATGGTAATTCTTATTAAGTAGTTTTACTTCCTTCTTAAAAGTGGTCTCTATATATTTCCATAGTTGTGGTGGTCTAAAATGTAATGCAAACCCCTAGTAAAATGGGTTAAACTATTCTACTATAGCAAAAATTGTGCAACTGTCCTCCTAAAATAAGTATTGGACCTAAGTGCCAAGTCAAGAAAATACTGCTGCAGGTATGAATGGAACTCTAAGTAGAAAATCAGTTTCCCTGCCTAAGATGGGCACCCCAATAGACTGTATATTATCTTTTACAGAAGGCGCTCTAAAACATTCAGGTCTGACTAAAGTTTAAGTGCAGTTTGACAGGTTGTAAATGGAAAAAGCATTTTCTTTACACTGTCACCAAACACTTTAAAATTCTAAATGAGAAACAGTTTAGTCCTATCCAAACAAAATTGTGCAGATGTCACTGAGGGTTTGCATCCTCACAAAATTCTGGAATGAAAAAAATTCTGGAATGAAAAAAATGAGAGACATTCTCAGTTCCTTCTAACAAAAAGGAAAATTTAGGGTGAAGATATAGGAAAATCTTGGGATGGTAGAATGACAACATGTTTTGGTTGTCAAGTGGATAATGGTATACTTTGCTGATTCGTTGTGGGGCTTTTGAGACTAGGAAAATAAAAAAATCAAGGGCGGTGAATGAGAGGGTGTGTTTTAAATATTAGAGCAGCTTTTCCATGTAGCCGTTGTGAAGGCCTACTGATTTTATGGGTTTTCATGGAAAGCACTGTGTGGGGAAATGTGAATGAACTTGCCAGTTGTCCTCTGAAGCTCTAAAGGTTGTCTGTCACCACTTTGGAAGTTCCTTATAGAAATGATTTAATGACTCATTTCTCATTTGATTTGTAACATTTAGGAAGAAACTCCTGGACTATGTATTTCTCACTGATTATCATCCTCTCCCTGCCACTTCTGGTAGTCATAAGCAAACACCAGTCAGAAAAAGACCAAAAAAAAAAAAGGAAGGCACCCATTTTTCTCTTCTTCCCTTTGCCATTCTATCAGTCTCCCTTACCTCCTAAAACACCAATCTGGGCTCCCACTTACCTTTTTGGGTGTCCAGGCTTTGGTGGCCTTTGCTTTCTTCCCACCCTTCTTGCTTGCCAAAGGTTTCCTTCCTCTTTTCTCAGGAGATGGGGAAAGAATTGTCTCAGATTTGCTTTTGGCACCACGTTTTTTGGCAAGGAGCTCTGGTTGAATTCTGGGTAGGACACCTCCACTTGCAATGGTCACTCCCTTTAGCAACTGCAGGGAGAGGCAGTATAAAAAAGTATGACTTATTTATTCTAATCAGCATCCTTTACCCAATATTCTAGCGCTCTTGCCTCAAGCTGCTGTTAATAGCTGCATTTCACTATATACAAGTAGGTGGCATATTTTAAATGCTTGTTTTGTACAGTAACTCTCACACCAACAGAATACTTCACAATAATTATTTAAAAGCATAGTTAAATGAATGAGTTTAAATTAAAAGTATGCTGGCTAGGTCATACAGAACTACAGACATAAGAAGAGCATTTAAGGAGGTCTCCATCATGTAAGCCTTATATGAAAAATACTCAGCTATAGTTCTAGTTAGCAACCCAGTAACAGAGGAAGGCTGAAAAGGAAATTTACACTGTAACTGGAGTTGTTTTTTGTTTTTTAAATGAGTTGTCTCCATGTATCTTACACTCTTGGCATATCCTATGCACTCAAAATAGGAGTTTCTGGCCAGTGGTGCCACTGGGGCCAAGCATGGATCCTAAGTGCCCTGTACTTGTGCATCAAGGGCAGAAAGGGCAGTCTGGGTTCAACTCCACTTCAGTTCATTGCCACCCCAGACTTCAATCAGTGGCAGAACTTTGAAGCAGGGCTATTTGTGTACGGTATATATAGGGACAACACATCTCAAAAAACTCCAGCTACTGTACAGTTAATTAACTTGTTAGTGTGTATATTACACTCCTGGTGACCCATAAAAGCAGTGATGCAGGTATGAGTCTACCTAAATATGTGTTGTACATAGATCTGCTAAAAGAAGTGTCCTTTATGGAAGCTTCCAGTAATTTAAAGGATTTAGTGAAGGTGTGTATGGAACACCAACTGGCTGGTTTGCAGATAAAAACAGCGCTTCTCAAAAAGCAGCAGAGGCTGTTTGCACCCTGGTGGAATGGGCTGTAATATTACCTGGAGGAACTAATGCAGGTAATTCATAACATACTTTGTTATTTCTCTAAACCCTTTAGATAATCTTTGGGCAGAAACAGATTGTCCTTCTATCGTTTCAAGATAAAACAAAACTAGCTGGGGGGGCGGGAGTTCTGAAGGGCCTAGTTCAGACAATTGGCAAAAGCCCTACAGGCACTGAGAGAAACCAGCTTTGATTCTCCATGATTAGAATGTGATTTGTGAAAGATGACTGGTAAATAAACAGTTTATGAGGAAATCTGATAATGCTTATGGCAAGAATTTACATTGTGTTCTTATCAGAATGGAAAAATGTGTAGAGGTTTTGTAATGGATGTTCATAGCTCCCTGTCCTAATATCCGAAGTAACTGCTTCAAGAAAGGTTTTTCCAGGTAAGTGTAACAAAGAAAACAAAATAAAAGTTTGAGCAGAAGATCCACAATACTAAGAAGTACTACATTAAGGCACTGGCTTGGAATAGTTCTTGTATGAGTGGAAATATTTTTGTAAAGCCCCACAAATGGCTAAACATGGTGGCGTGAGGGAAAAGGTTACCATATTTTCTTGCATACAACATACCCTGCCCTGGAATATAAAACACACCTTGTTTCTGAAAGGCAGAACAAAGGAAAAAAGATTTTTTCTTGTAGTAGGTAACTGAGTAGCAGCAGTTAGAGATCTGAGCCTACTCACTGTTCTACTCCCAGTAGATCACTGCAGATTTTACTTTTGGCTTTACCCGGTAAGTAGCAGAACCTGCTCTTATTGCATTTCTCACATATAATGCACACTCTAATTTCCAGCGGCTTGTTTTGTGGGGGGAAAGGTGCATGTTTTATGTGAGAAAACATGATATATATCTCCTTACTGGAGGACAGTAGACATTAATAGACACTAGCTTTACATTCAAAGAAAAAACTGAAAGTCAAGATGTCTTCAGAAAGAGTATGTAATCCCAGTTAGTAGGCATTTATGTCAATTTATGTTGTTCACATCAAACTGGATATCTCTTTTGCTTAGACAGGCTTGTGTGGTTGAATCTTTTATATTTTATGCATCTGAACAGGAAAAAAAATGTTCCTACTATCCATTCAGGAGTCATGCCATGAGATGTAAGGAAGATGGGTTTGGGTAGAGAATGGTTCTGTCATTCTAGGATATCAAGCCTGGAATTATGAGTTAAACATTTTAGAGGACAGCTCACTGAATCCGTTCCAAGTGTCAAAACTACCTCAGCCAATGGCTGTATCCTGCCTGTTCTTTCTGAAAACCTTGGCGAGTAGTGGAATCAGTAGATAACCGCACTAATGCAAAGGTACACTGAACAAAAAACTGATGCCTTCTTTTCTAGATGGCTTCACTGATCTATGGTAACAAATGCTTTGTTCTGTCTTTTATCTAGAGTAGGAATAGTATTTATTCTGTTTTCTTTTACTCCAAGAATTTAAATTCCAGGTGGGAAATGTGATGCACAAATTCTTTAGAGTATAATGAGCATCATCCATCTTTACTTTGAATAAAATTAAGCTTTCAAAATAGAGGACCATCCATTGGTGATTGAACGTCACTTAAGGTTTCCAAAAAGTGGAGATCAGAAAGTCAGTCTTATGACTCTAGATCTTAAGTGTGCACAACAGTATCTGTAGCTTCTAGACTTGCTTGTAAATAGGTTCTTCCCACTAACTGCCCTTCAGACATTAGGGGCTCAAGTCTTCCCTATGTTTCTGTGGCAATTTACCATCAAAATGTGAAACTTTACTGCAATATAAGCAATTATAACATTCAAATCAAGTCTGGTAATTTGAGATTATGTACTGTAAATCATGCAGAGGAATAACATGCAAGACTGAACGCATCTATTTGTTTTCACTTTTTCAGCTGGACTTTTCTTAGATTGACAGTGTCTACTGTTGTTGTTCAGTGCTGCAACCAGTAAACAGCCTGGTACTGAGTACAAAGATAGATATTTTGTTTTCACAGACAGCATTTGAAATTGGTATGACTAACGATAGTGTCCACCAAGTATTTTTTGCAAAATCCATTAAAGCTTCATTTATAGGAAGAGCCACTCTTTCTGGTGTAGAGAATATCAAACAATTTTTGACAAGTCTCCTACACCTCTGCAAGTGAAATCTGGAGCTATTCAGCTATGGTTTTTTATTAAGCCATGTAACCTTTTATATTCTTCTGGATAAAATGGTGTTGATGGGACTACTGCCTCATAGGCAGTGATGCCAAATAGCCTATTCTGGAGCTGTTCCTCCCCAGAAACATACTTTGAAAACTGAGGATTGTCCAGGGGCATCTGAAGTGGCATAAGTCTCTTCTTCTTACTAAAGAAGATATTTAGCTGTAAGATGCTTGAGGAGTGGCCATAAGAAGCCCAAAGATTCCAGTACAATCATGCAGGTAGAGTATATGGATAGGAAGTTAATCCAAAAAAGGGAGGACCAAGGCATATATTTAACTTCATATCCTACAGGGCATCTTTGAGGCCCCCAAGGAGTCTGACAGAGCCCTCCGGGGGGTGTGGGCGGGGGGTGCTGCTGCTGGAGCTGAGTCCAGCGGAGGGAGGCGGAGTGCAGCCCCGGCACTGCACTCCACCTCCCCCCACACTGGACTCAGTTCCACAGGGCTGGGAGCCACCGGGCACTGAGCCCGGTGGAGGGAGGTGGAGCGCAGCCCCGATGCTGCACTCCATCTCCCTCCACCAGACAAAGCACCCAGCGGCTTACTGGGAGGGAGGTGGTGCACATTACCGGGGCTGCCTCCCTCCACCAGGCTGAGCTCCCAGTGGCTCACAACCCCATGGAACTCAGCCCAGTGGTGGGGGAGGTGGCGTGCAGCACCGGCTCTGCCTGCCTCCTGCTACTGGGCTGGGCTGCATGGGGCTGGTGGAGCCAATCAGAGTGCAACCCCGCATTGGGAGGTGGGCAGAGCCGGTGCTGTGCTCCTATTGGCTCCACCAGCCCCACAGAGTGCAGCCCAGTGGCAGGAGACAGGGAGCACCAGGGCTGTGCTCCCTGCCAGGCTGAACCACATAGGTCTATGAAGCCACTCGAAGCACAGCCCTGGTTCTCCCCTGCCTCCCACCACCTGGCTGCTGCTTCAAAACTCGAAATGTTTCGAGGCTGTTTTGAAGCCCATCGTTTCGTTTTGATTTTACTGTTTTGTGCTCGAAACGAGTCGAAACAGTGTCGAAACGAAACAGCTGGCAAAATTTCGTACAGCCCTAATAAGCAGTCAGTGCTAGGAGGAGGTCAGAAGCAAGGAAATGGCAGATGGGCAAACTACAGTAATGTCATGTTTAGCTCAGGTATAAGTAAAGGAGACACTAGCTCTTCTAAAAATTGGAAGGCAGTACTTTATGATTCCCAGACACCAGTATAGTGATGTGTACCTAGGGTACTGCATACCAGGGCTACCAGAGTAACTGTGCTTAGTACTGAAACAATCAATACTGAGGAAAGGGCTGCAACTGGTGTCAAAATACTTGGTGCCCCACTGACCTCAGAGGCTATAGCCTTAGTATCAGCCTGGCAATCACTCTTATCTAGACAACAGCAAGCAACTGTGCTACCTTTGAACTTCCTGGTTTCCTGATTTAGTCTGTGGAGTCTTTCTTCAGAAGGACTGAATAAGTGATTCAGACTTCTTAGCAGAACCTTTGTGAAGACATCTGCTTCTGATCTCAGACCAGGTTTAACTGGAATGGTCCTACCAGAGTCCCTTGAAGCCTGAACTTTGGGAATTGGAGTCCTGCAGCTAATGTAACCTAAGGTAGAGGGGAACAGTCCATCCAATGGAATCAGTCAGACCCAACTCCAAGGAGGCTAATAAAAAAAAAATTAAGTCACTATTTTTGGCTTTTAATGTTTCTTTGAAAAGAATTTACTCATGTCACACTGGGAATATGGGGATGTCCCTAAACAAAAGCACTATGAAGGATACCCACATTTAACGTGAATTGCCACCTCGTAATGGACAATATTTAAATCCAAGACACTTAGGTTGTGATATTCCAAAATCCTGGTAATAGGAAGGATCCCACTACGAAAAATTTAAAATGGAACAAAATCTTCTAAAACTGTGCAATAAAGAACTATGTTTTACCAAAATGATGCGAATGGGCAATCACCAGATAGATATAAGGCTAATACTAATATATGCCCATCTAAAGTTTAAATCAAAAAGAGACAGTTTGAGTACATGGACACCATGAACTCCATTCTAAAGGCAATTCACTGAGCAGGAACTGACTGCCCATTGGACCCACCTTGCCCTTTGTGCTCTAGGTATGGTAATTCAGGAAGTATGTGTGGTCCCAATAGACATTGCTGGCCAAAAGACTGATCTCTAGCACAATGGGGCGCATTTGCACCAGAAGTGGAATACACGTATACACAGCACTTGAGGATAACCTATAAGTTATAAGCAACTATGTGGGATGGTGGCATATCCATACCTATCTATGGGGCTACTGAAAGAGTGGGCCCTGAAGGACGGCCAGTAAAATCTTTCCCACAAAGTCAGCTATAAATTCACATAGCATCTGAAAAATCTTTTTAAAAAATGGGAACTTGAGCATCCACATCTTACTTGACAGAACAAGCAACTTGGCCATTAAGACATAAAGAAAAGGGGTACCTAGTGCTCTTTTCCATTCCTTACGTGAATTAAAACCCAACACACAAACACACTTTTGTCCTTATGTTGGTAGATGGATTCTTGTTCCATTTTCTGCTGTGATAGCCATTATGGTCTCATCCAAATTCAGACTGGAGTGTTTGAACTACACTGTATGGAGAAGTCTATACACTAAAATACTAAAAGCATACCTGGTTCAACTCCTCATCATTAGCAACTGCCAGTAGGATGTGTCTGGGGGCAATTCTTCCCTTTTTGTTGTCTCTTGCTGCATTTCCTGCTAGTTCTAGTATTTCAGCTGCAAATGCATTAAAGTAAAAATCAGAAACAGAATATCAATCTACATCTAGATCTACTTTTAATCCACTTGAAGGCCCATTTATATTTCCAGAGTGGTATAAAGTGACCTTAGTACCAATGAGAATCAGGCTAAAAATGACCTTTTATTAAAAGATTCTATTAAAACTTATATAAAATCTTCCACTCTTCCAAAATCTTCTAAAAGTTAATGTTTTATACATTTTTACAAAATAATACCTTACCTTTCCTATTTCTTCCAAAGGATAAGCACTGTACAAACTAGCATGCCAAAAAATTGTTCATGTAATTCTGTATTGTTTTTACAAATCTCAAGTTGAAATGCCCTTTCAAAAATAAGCATACAAAAATAAATATTAGCAATCCAAAATTGACCATGTAAACCCACAATACTAAAGCATGTAACAAAAATCCCTTGAATCTAGGAAAGAACGTTTAGACACAGCAGGAAGGATTCTCAGAACTAAATAAGTAAGAATATTGATGGTAAACATGAGGGTGCTTCAGTGTCAGTCTAGCTGGTAGCCAGCTCCCACACTAAAGCACCCTTGTACCCCAGCCAGTCAGGGCAGTGTCTACGTGTGTGCTGCTAGGGGGTAAATTAGTTAATTCCAGCTTAATAGGGGTGCATGTGCAGAGGCGCAACATTTATTGTGCAGCTAATTAGTCTACTGTGCAGTAAATGTCTTATGTAGACATGCCCAATGCAAAGCAATAAACTTCGGAGCAGTTTGAGCCAGAGTCAACTACTCTGTGCAGCATCTACGTGTATACCCAGAACAGCAGCAATCTGAGCTGGGGCAAAGCAGGCCCAGGCTGGCACAGGGTATGAGGGGTCAGCCCTGGGCTCTGGGTGGTGGCACTGGGCAGCAGAGAGGCTGGCTGGGACAAAAGGGTGCTAAAACTGTAGAGCCGTGCAGCTAGGCAGTAGTATGGCCTCCAGCTGACTGGGCACAATTTACGCCTAGTCAGCATCTATAGCTGCATTTAACTGCAGTAAGTTATTCTGGCATAAGATAGTCCCTCTCACCGACAGTACTATCTTACTGGGGCTTTAATTAGTTTACTGCAATCTAATAATGTCACAACTAATTAGTCTACTCCATAGTTATGTGCATGTGTAGACATGGCCACTGAGGCTTATTTGTAGGGCTATGCTGAAGATCAGAGAAATAGAATAGGAAGGACTGGGCCTTGACACACCAGTGTGAAGCTTCATTTGAGAACAGGACATAATACTATGGTTTAGATGCAGTAGGATATTTTTTGCTCAAAGCAAGCATAAGAATGATACCAAAACATTTCCTCATTTTCAGTGTCCAATTTTCCCTTCCTTTTGTGCTTTTTACATGAAATAACAGCAAGTCAAAAACCTACAATTGTATCAGTTCTCCAGAGGCTGCATTCTATTCTTTCCTTATAAGCAAAGTAAGTAACTTGAGAGAGAAGGCTGAGAGGTGATCTAGTGGCTGTTTACAAACTCACCAGAGGTGGACCAGCAAGAATTGGGTGAGACTGTTCCCCTGGGCACCACCCAGGGTTACTAGGAATAATGGCCACAAATTGTTAGAGAGAAGGTTCAGGCTGGACATCAGGAGACATTACTTTACAGTTAGGGCTGCCAGGCTCTGGAATGGGCTCCCAAGTGAGGTGGTGCTCTCTCCTACCTTGGGGGTCTTCAAGAGTAGGCTGGACAGATGTTTGACTGGGGTGATATGACCCTGGCACCTGTTCCTGTCCGGGGCAGGGGGTCAGACCTGATGATCTGTTTAGGTCCCTTCCAACCCTAAGTACTATGATACTATGATTGACAAATACAAAGGCTTCCATGGAAAACCCAGCTGAAATAGACAAAAAAGCTACCTGACAAAAATCCAAAGGGCCTCTCAGGTCATGGGTGAAATACAGGTTTTCAATTTTCATTAGCTCAGTTAAAATTGCAAACTTATCCTCCAATTTCTACTTCTATTAATTCTGAGCAGCAAAATATGGATGTTAAACCTTAAAAGTTATTCTTTGGTGGTATTAGCAATATACTGTATAAAATGTTTAGCAGCTGTTTAAAAGACAAAACTAGTCGACGTGCAAAAAAAAGATTGGAAGAACCTTATTAGGATTACAAAGTCAAGTATGAATGAGGCTGGGAGTCTGTGAAGAAATAGTATGAGATGAGATAATTAGAAAATGTATCTTAACACATGCAGGAGGATGTGGATTAAGATTGCACAAGCAGCTTTATTTCTGGTATTGCCCAACTTTTGGGCATTTGACTTTCCAACCTATATAATGTTCTTTTAATGCAGAGTTGTGTGTGTAATTTCCTAAGGTTTTAGAAAAAGTTAATTGAACCATTTTTTCTGTATTACGTCATATTAATGCCCACTGGCCATCAGCAGGGCTTGAACCATTAGAGTCACCAAGCAGACTCTCTGCTACATTAGCTAATGGAGTAAGTAATAACAACAGGAGATTGTCCACTACATTGATCAACAGTAAAAGAGAGTCTTTGCAATTAGATGTCATAGATATGTGCTAACAGGAGAATGGTGAAAGTCCAGAAAGAGAAGCTACTTATCTGTTCAGTAATGCATTCTTTCAATTGTGTTATTCATACATACATTCTAGTAATGTGCATGTATACCCGATGCACACAAATTCATAGGCTCTTGGCCAGCACTGTGCATATAGTGTACCCCTTAATGTCTTCATGCCTCATATTAAGGGCAAAAAAGTGCAGAGTACTGCAACCACCATTCTGTTTCCTCCAAACTACAGAATCTTAGAGGGTAAGAGCCCCAAGCAGAGGGGACAGAGGATGGGTCAGGGATATATGCATATGGTACAGGTAGGTAAACTCACTGATTCATTCATACAATGATCCACATATACATTACATATATACATATAGATCCACATATACATCACTGCTTCCAAGCAATGAACAAATAGAATGGGAGCTTAAGAGTTTTAAGAAAATAAAGATTGTAGAACAACTTCACAAAGTGCAGCATCTGATCTAGAAGCTTCAGTAGTTATCTAATTCCTTATGAACATAGGAATGTAATTCAACAAGACTGCTTTCTATGTTTCTCCCAGAATCGTTTGTCAAGATGTTGCTGAAGCTACAGTGAACACCTAAAGTGATAGGGTGATTCAGCTTAGCTAACTTGTGTAACATGATTTCAAACAGAAGTCCACCTTGACAGGCTCTAACATGATATGGCTGTGCCTTTCATCTTCTTGGAACAGTCTGAGTAAAGACTTAAACAGTTTTGCTCTTTGTAGATAAAATGCCAAAGAGGATCTGACATTTAAGGTTGAAAAGAAGCCTTCAACTTGGAAACATGAAGGTTAGAAAATAAGCACAGGTGTGCTGGATCAAATGAACCTCTAACTAAAGTCAGCAAGAACTAGGATGTGCCTTCAGGGATAGAAGACAGTAAAAGAAAGGTTGGCCATTCAGTGGTTGGATCTCTCCTGCCCTCCTTGCAGAGTTAAATGTAAATCATTTTTTAATTTTCACTAATAAGACATGAGCCAAAATGGACAGCTCATGAGAGGTCAGAGTTCCAAGCTGAAGTCCTGACATGGGGATGGAGCAGTAGGAAGGGTGGGAGGTGACCAGGGCAGCAGCCCTGGGCACCACCTTTGTGGGGGGAGGAGATTAGGGCTGTGCAAAATTTCACTGGGCGTTTCATTTCAAAGCTGTTTTGATGCATTTTGAGCTTGAAACAGCGAAATTGAAACAAAGCAAAAGGCTTCAAAACAGCTTTGAAATGAAATAAGGGCACTTAAAACGTTTTGAAAGTTTCAAACATTTTGAGTTTTGAAGCTGGGCTTACTTGGCTTCAGCACTGGTCCCAGGTGGCAACAGCAGTTTCCTGTCATCCAGTGCACAGATCTGGTAGCTCGCACCCCCCGGGAGGGCTGCGGGGATGTGCTGGACCGTTCCTGGGGATGCAAGCTGCCGGAGTGACAGGAGGCTGCCTGGGACCAGTGGCAGCAGCAATCTTCCCTGGCACTGGGTGTGGGCTGTGCCCAGCGCTGGTCCTAGGCGGTAGCCTCAGCCTTCTGTCATCTGGTGCAGAAGTGGAGGCTTGCATCCCCAGGAGGTGTCCGGCACAGCCTGGCAGCCCTCCCAGGGGTGCGAGTCCCCGGATCTGCGCCCTGATGAGAGGAAGCTCAGGCTACTTGTCTCACCTGGGACCGGTGCCCCCCGCACACCTCCCTGCCCAGCTGCAGCCCCCCTGCACACTCCTCTCCGGGCTGCAGCCCCTCCACAGCTTAACAGCATCAGCAGCTGTGCTCTTGGTCCCCTGCACAGCAGGAGGCAGCACAGCTCAGCCCCAGCTGCCAGGTATCAGCTGCCTCTGCCACAGCAATTTTCATCCAAATCAGGCAATGACAAAGTTTTAGGCATTTTTATCGCACCCATCTGACCTTGTGTAGGCACTCTCGCCACTTCAGAACATGTACCCGGTGCCAGCCGCAGGGTGTGTTCCTGTGGCTTTAACGGCGGGCCACGTTCACCCTGAAGGAGGCCCCAGTACTCACCTGCCATGACTTGATCTTTCCCTTCAGTGGTGAGGCTCCTTCTAGCTCCTTGCTGACCAGGGGCTACCCTTAGCGGGTGTTCTTGGGGCTCCACCTCTCCTATACCCCAGCCATGCACCAGCCCTCAGGATGCCCAGATGATGTCTTCGCTTGTCTCCTCTTCCCCCTGCTCGTCTCCTGGCCCCCTCCTGATCTGTGGAGGTCATCCGTGACCCCTCTCCCTGCCTCAAGATAACTCAAAACAAAATTAAAACACAAAAGGAAAGGTTGGGATACGGGGCCTCAGCCTGCCCCACTCATGGGTCCAGTGTCTGTAGCTCCAAGGTCCCTCGACGTAGTCCTCCCTGGCCTAGTTGCACTGCCGGGCCGCCATGGCGCCTCCTTTAGTTGATCCTGGACCCCTCCATTGGGTCCTGGTCAGGATTTCCTCTGGGCTGCTGATGCAGCTTGTGTGTAGTTCGGAGAGCAGCCTTGCTGTCTGGCTCTGGTGGTCTCCCCGGCCATTTCCCGCCCACCAGCTTTTAAATCGGCTGGGTAGTGGTTTTTGATGATGTCATCCGCCCGTGCCGTACCGAGCTGGTAATAAAAATGGCTAATGATCCGTAAGGACAGTTCATCTCAGCATGGCTCATCTGGCTCCGCTTCTTCTAAAAAAGTTAAGTTTGCCCTGTCCTCAGGGCTTTTCTCTTTCTTCCCAAGGGTGGCTGGCCCTGCCTCGGGTCCTGCCACAGGAGGGGGCTTCAGGCCCACTGTTTGCATTCCCCTGGGACATTCATGATTTCCCATTATAGCCTATGGGCAAAATGTCAAAACTCGTTGAAACAGTTCCAACGAAACAGGGCAGTGCTTCAAAATGAAATGAGAAAATCAAACACTATCCCTTCGAAACGGTGAAACGGACATCAGATTGAAATGACTGTGTTTCGCATAGCCCTATGGAAGAGAGACAGGGCAGGAGGCGCAAAAGTAGCCAGTACTGCAACTAGCATGGCAGAAGCTGGCACTGCCTCATGCATTGTGGCTGCCGTGCACAAAGAAGTACCCTGCTACACCCCTAGGATGGGATCTCTGATACATTTTTTAGGAACACTTTTGCAGAGCTTTTCAAAACCTCAGTTAGAGCTGCGTGATTACTGTGGATGGTGTGGAGAATGAGCTGCCAAATGGACTTTGAATGCACTAAGTAACAAAACTGTTAGTTTCAAATTTAACAAACAGTATAAGTATTGGGAGTTGGGGAATTTTTACATCAACAGGAAAATCTTGTTCACCTTGCCAGGTAAGCCTGTCTCATAGAACTTCTCTTTCTTCTCATTAAAATATTCTGGACAGGTGCAGAACAATCCAAGCCAGCAGTCAAGCAATGGGATGAAAGGACTTCTTATTCAGGTGAAAGATTTTAGTTCTGTTTTATGACAGAAGACCTGAAAGCAGAGGCAGGCATCTTTGGCTGGCAGATCTGCTGATTCATATTATCTGGGAAACAAAACTGCCTAAGGCAGGCCAGAGCAATCAGTCAGTTTAGGTAAGTCCTATCTGAACTTGTGTTGCATCCTTAGTGGGACCAGTGATTGATTAGGCACACCTGAAGACTCCTGCTAAGCTGTTAGACAGGTGGCCTTGGTTCCTGCCTCCTCTTGACTTTAAGTCCGACAATTCTTGTTGCACTGTTACAAATAAGTCTACCTTAGAATGATCTCATTTGGGAAAAGTGGCCCACATGATCAAGTCTTTAGTCTCTCACTCATAAAAAAGAAATCATTCCTGCTCTGTTTGCTATACCAAGGAAATATGGTACTAGGTAAACCAGTTCTGTAATCTAATTACTTCTTGACATTGCAGGATGGTCTTGCCCTCCTTTGACTGTCAAAGCAGAACACAATGGCCTGTATGACTGTCATTACCTGGACAGACTGCCTTCTATTGTGATGGAGAAAGTACTTGCTAGCTTTGTATAGCACCCAGGTTTCTAGAAGAGTGATATGTACTAGCACTTTGCCTGATTTCACTGTCATTGCACCTTCAGGCCAACCAGTAAGTGTTCTCCATCTAATAGTTTTGGACACGAGGACTCTTTTACAGACAGTTCAAGGTTTTCTCCTACATTCAGGAAGTATAAATTATCCTACCTTAGGGCCGGAGTTGGACTAGATGACTTCTCATGGTCCCATCCAGTCCTATTTTATATGACTAAGATTATATAACAGTATGAATAGATGCACATAAAAAGGACCTATCCAGATGAGGTTTGATAGGGACATGTACCAACTGTAGCCAGTATAGGTGTACCAATAAAGTTTTTTTTGCTAATACTGATAGCTGATACTGGTCTGATTGCCAATATGCAGCCTGGCAGCTTGGAGAGCAGTGTCTGGTGGGGGAGGTAAGGGGTGTGGGGGGAGCAGATCGAGGCCTCCACAGTGAGTGAGGGAGTAGGGCTGGGCAGGGGCAGAGCAGGGTACAGGGCGAAGCTGCAGGCAGCTTGTCTTGGGGACATGGGGGGCAGCTCCCGCTGCCGTGTGCACCCTTAGGGGAGGCATGAGGGCATTTGGCCCACAGATTTGTTCATAGGGTGAGGACGAGCTGCAGGCTTTGGCCAGGGGCTGTGTGAGCCTCTTCCCTGCTAGGGAGGCAGGGTGGGTCAGGGGCAGGGTGGGTCAGGGGAGGAGTCGGGGGGGATGGCAGTGGCACTGGAAGGGGGGCTACAGTGACCCCAAAATTCACCGTAGCCCCCGCTCCCAGCATTGCCACCTGCCCCAAGCACAGCCCTGGCCCAGCACACACCCCCAGGAAGAGACTGGCACAGCCCTCCAACCTCAGCCTGCAGTGGGCAGCCTGAACCTGAATCCACTCCTCAACAAGTGCTACAACATTTGCTGAGGTTTGTAAAACAGACAAATTTCCTTTTGAGAGGACAAATTAAGGTTAATTCTTGTAAATATAAACAAGAGTTTGGATTTAAATATCATAGGACAAAAGTTAATTTCACAGCAGCAGCACGCATAATGTCCATTTTGTAGGAAAAGGTGAACTTTACATATTAACAAGGTTAAAATACATGCAATATAGTTAAGTGGGATTCCTTTGGCCATCCAAAAAACACAAAGAGAATGTGGTATAATTTAACTTGAAAATACTATGTAAATGAGAGGTGGATTCTTTTTTTTTTTTCTCTTCTGCTATGCATATTCAACTATTTCCAAGTCTGACATCATTTCCTTGAACTAAAAAGGACTGGATGCCACTCCCTTTTAGCTTATCAGCATTTCTAGATCAAGCAGAGATCACTGTAAAGCAATAAAAAACAATCCTTCCATTTAGGGATTAAGCATGGTACATCTGCAATATTTTCATCTCCTGCTGTTCCATGAAGAGAGTAAATCCACTTCAGCCCACAAAGTGCATGTCAGTATACTTTTTACATTTACAGAGCATAATTTTCAGAGCTGCAGAGCACCTGATTATCTCATGGACTTCACTTAGTGCTGTATATGATCAGTATTTTAAAAATCAGGCTCTTAATTTACCTGCTAGATATTCTATGACAGCCGCCATGTAGACCGGTGCTCCCATACCTATCCGATACTTGAATGTTCCTTTCTTTAAGTAGCGCAT